TAATTTATCAGAAAAAAAAAAAAAAGTTACCAGAGGACAACCGTTAAAAAGGGTGGTGTGATTGTTTGACAGGTTAATCAATCTTTCAGCAGCGGCCACTTTATGTTTTTTTCGGGTTTTATCCTCTCTTTTTTTGTGGACTTGAGAAATATGTTGTTATTTTTTTTTATTCTCTTTTTGTTTCGTGAATTTTGGTATAAGATTTTTGAGTATTTTATGTTAATGTTGTAATGCCTGATGAATTGTGAATAATAGATGTGAGCTTCCTCCTCCGTTGACCCTAATTAAGGTGTGTTTGTATATACAAAATCTTAATTCATACTCATTTAATTCAATTTCACCTCAATTTTATTAATATAATTCAATAACACTAACCTATTATTCTTACACATAACGTCAACTTTATTTTACTTTCATGTAGTTACACAATTTTAACTAATCATCACTTCACATCATATTTTTTTCTACTTTTACATTAAATTAACTTTATTTATTTTATTTTAAATATTATTTTAATATAAAATCAAAACCCACAATACCCACAATAACTAAGCATACATTTTTTTTTTTTGTTTTAAAATTAACTCTAATTAACAAAAAAAATATATATATATATTTCAATACATGTGTTTTCCGTAATTTACTCGTTTGTGTGAGGGGGGTATTATAGTCGTTAATGGGCCGTCGATGTTGCTGAAGCACTTGGATATTCTAGTTAATTAATACGGTACTAGTACTACAGTACTATATATGTCCCCACCAAAATATATTTTATAGTATCCATTTTATTTTTGTTCATTGAAATATTGAAATAAAAAATTGAAAATTAACCAAAATCGAATATTATTTTATGAATATTGACTGTTTTTGTTCAATGAATGGTTTACTTTAATGCCAAAAAATTTAATTTTTCTGGATATATCAAAAAAGAAAATGACTGTTTTTGAACGAATTAGAGGGACATATTGAAATGTTTTCGTACAACTGATGTGCATGGAATATCGAATTCATTAAAATTTGATCATGAATTTGATTTTATATTTTGTAATGAATTATATCGAATTATATTCACAGCAGCATTTGGCAGATGTAGGACTTATGATTACAAAACCAAATAATTGGCCTTTGTTCTGAAGCAAATGACTGAATGAAGCATTCAATTCGGACTTGATCATGAATAATAATTTACAACCACTTTTGGATGAGAGGCATTTTTTTTTTTTTTTTTTTTTTTTTTCGGAACGATAGAAATTTTATGTAAGAACACAAATATGTAAAAATACAACCACCCGACAAAACGCAACCACCAGCTGAATGAGAGAGATGAATTGATCAGTATTTTGGGCAAAGGGGTCAGTATTATTATTAATTGTTCAAATCAGTAAAAAGTAGTACTATTATTATAAGATTGTTTGTCTGTAACAGTCTGTACACATCATAGGAAGAATCTATATATGTACTTGAGTTAATTAAATGTCACGCACATTATTATGCACAACCTTTTCACATAAAGTCCACTTCCGTATTATTAAAAAAAAAAATATATTTTTTTTTATTTGAAAAAGATTAAAAAAAAAGTTAAAAATTGTATCTCATAATCTCAATTGTGCTACTTTATTTAAAGAATTATGAAAGTATTTAGGTATTTATAATCATGCAATATAAATTCGGTAACTATTCTCGATGTGGAATAGTTAGAGCATCTGCAATATATTTCTTTGAATGAACCCAAAGCATTACTGATGTTCTTATAGAATCGTTATACGATTTGTATTATGTCATCATAGACTTATGAATTGTTGAAATACATGGATAATAAAAATTGATACTTTTTTTTTTTATGGGGATAATTTAAGGCTTTTTATGGCTCGAGATACAACAAATTTTCAGTTTGTAACTTTTTCTTCAAGAATACATTTTTCAATATGTGATTGGATATCCAATTTATCGCAAATGTTCTTATTATCTTAATAGTTAAAATCGGTTCACTATTCATTGAATAATAGTATGTAACCAGTGTGATACACGATTAATAATTTAAATTGCATGTATTAAAGCCATGTAAAAATATTAATTAGTATAATAATAGTTTTGAATATTACTATTTTTTTTCTTTTATAAAATTGGTCCATTATTCATTGAATAATATTATGTTGTACGTGAGATACACGGTCAATAATTATAAATTGAATGTATTAAAGTCATGTAAAAATATTAATTAGTACAACACTAGTTTTAAATATTACTATTTTTTTCTTTTATTATATAGTATATAATAATTTAACATTTGATTTTTATGTTTATTTCACTCGTATAACAATTTAACATATTCAAACATTATCACTAGATAACACAAATAGAATAATTGTCTCTTTATATTCCCTGGCTCTTATGTTATTACAATACTTAAATTCCAAAATAAGTTATGCGAAAAAAAAAATAAAATAAAAAAAAAAATTGTGGCACATTATAACCAACATTAATTGAAAAGACTGTAATTTAATAATTTTACAAGTACATCAGTATCATTTTATTTTGTTTTTATAATTTAAATGTATGTTATAAGTATTTTAAATTTTCTTGTAATCTAATAATTTATATAGTAGATTCACACCAACTGATTTATCATTAATTAATAACAAACATTATAGTAATTTTTTATTTTTTTCTAAGCTATTAATTTACATCGTTGTTTGATAGATCACTTGTTAGTTTATCATTATAATTTATAATAATATACAATACAAAATAATTAATTATTTTATAAGTTAAAAATCTTAAATAGATAGTTCGACAAATTAGAAAGTCAAAATTACTATTTCAGATTATTCCAACCACCTCTTTCGATATATATAGATGAGCATTTGATCGGCTCGAATTTAAAAATACTGTCAACTGGCTATCAATGCATAACTCAAAAACAATTTTATGGATTAATTTTATTAATTATTTCTTAAAATTTATACTAAATCTGATTAGCGCCCAAGCAATTAAGGCCAAAAAGTGTAGCTAACGACAAATTACAAGACTAATGGCGTTACGCGTTGGCATATATATTACATATAATATGGATGATTGTGAGGTAGAAGATTCTTTTTCACTAAAAAGTAATAATATTATTTTTGAAAAGTCAATATTATTCGTTTTTACGTGACACTTCAAATTTT